AGGCTCCCCTCGGTCTGCTTCCGTGGGTCAGGCCCTGCCACCGCTAACGGGGAGCGACGGCTGCTCCTCACCGTTTGCTGAGCTCCCAGGAACCTTCCCCCGCCCCGCTGCCAGGGCCCAGGGCTGCGGCGCCGACACGGTTTTGTTCCAACCGTTTATTCAGACACGTGAATCAAACCAGCGTACCGTTTTAAGAGCAAGCTGGAACTAACTCTGAATTTAAAAAAAGCACAAAGAGCAGCTCTTGCTTTCCCTCGCTACAGAGAGCACTGCCGCGGCACAGCTCGGGATGCGTTTCGTTCCTCTTCTCCTCGAAGTTTGTGGCGGGATTGCGACACGGTTTTGTTCCAACCGTTTATTCAGACACGTGAATCAAACCAGCGTACCGTTTTAAGAGCAAGCTGGAACTAACTCTGAATTTAAAAAAAGCACAAAGAGCAGCTCTTGCTTTCCCTCGCTACAGAGAGCACTGCCGCGGCACAGCTCGGGATGCGTTTCGTTCCTCTTCTCCTCGAAGTTTGTGGCGGGATTGGCGCCAGTGTCACCGCAGCTGGCTGCAGATCAACCCTGTGGGCGAGCTCACCTGCTTCTCCTTCAGGGCTCTTACTCTTCTTTGAAGCCCAGCGTGTTCCTCACCTTGCGGGCCATGCAAGCGGCTGTGAGGACACAGCAGGTCACAGTGAAGAGGCACAGGGCAGAGAAGTTGTGTGCCAAGTCACCCTGAAGAGCAGAATAGATCTGTCGCCTGGACTCGTAGTCCAACACCACCGCCTCGATCTGCGCCAGCGTGCAGAGGACCAGGCACACGTGAAAAATCTGATGGCTCTGCCCGAAAAAGTGACATTTCCCAGGGAACCACTTCTCGGGGTAAGGGTGCGAGAAAAAAAAGGCACCAATGAGGAAAAACAGCACCTGGCATTTGTGATACAGAAGGGCCGGGTCAGCCCGCTCGGAGGGCGGTGCGGTGAAGATGCGGTGGACCACGGGGCTGATGTCCAGCACGTACGCCAGGCCGGAGGGCAGCTCCTGGCAGAGCCTGCTCAGAAGGCGAGCCGACTGGTGGTACCGGTACTTGGCATAGCAGGAGCCGGCGCAGGACAGCCACGCTAACAGGACTGCCATCGGCATGTAAAACCCCTTGATCTTCTCGTGCCAGCTCGGCTCGATGGTGTAGTAGTAGTGGCTCAGAGCGCTGCCGTACTGGTAAATGGCCACCCCCACGTAGTCCATGAAGAAGAAGCTGTAGTGCCAGAACTCCGATTTGGCCTGCAGAAGGTGAGCAAGGGTGCTGAACGTCAAGTAGGTGATGGAGGCCACGATGATGATGAGGAGGGGTTGGGCGTGCGGGTCCTGCCCGAAACCCCCCCGCGGCGAGAGCTGCTGGACCCGCAGCAGCAGGATCAGCGCTGCCACCAGATGGGTCCAGACGTTGATGGCTTCGTTGTGCTGCTGGAACAGCGTCGAGAAGTAATAGCGCCAGGTCTGCCGCACCGGCCGGTAGCCGGCGTGGATGTAGGGCTTCCAGAAGACCTTCGGCACCTCCGAACTGCTGACGGTGGAGGGAGAGAGCGGGGCCAGCAGCTGGGGGACCTGCTGCACGTTAATGAAGAGGCGGCTAAGCTTTTCGGTGACCACCGTTGCCATGATGCAGCCGAACTCTGGGTCCCCGCCGTGCAGAACAACCTATGGGAGAGAAAGAAAGTTTTGCTGTATGGTTTAAGAGAGACTTTACCAAAAAAAAAAAAA